GTATCCCAGGCAAAGAAAAGATCGTAATATAGATACAGAGGCAGGAAAGAGCTTGGAGTGTTCAGATCCAAGAAGCTTGGAATTCATGAGTGAGTTTGAAGATCATAATCATATCAGACACAGAAAGGTGCCATATTGTGGACTACAATAAAAATCTGCATTCCTCCTAAGTAGGATGGGAAGCTGCAAGAGAGTTCCGAGCAGGTAAGTGACATTATCCAACATTTTTAAAAGATCACTGAACTCTGTAAATGAGAACTGGTTGTAGGGGCAGGAGTGGTAGCAAAAGTCTACTCGAAGGCACTTGCCATAGACTATGAAAGCGATAAAGATGGCTGAAGTAAGGTAATAGTGGTGAGATAAAGAGAAGTAATGAGACCCCAGCTATATTTTTAAAGTAGAGCCAAAAGATCCTGCTGATTGAATGGATGGGAACTGTGAAGGAATAAGAAGATCGATGATTCTTAGACATCAAAGCTGAGTGACAGGAAATATTAATGGTGTCATCTACCGCATGAGAAGGACATGAGGGAATAAGCAGGTTTGGGGAAAGAACTGAGAATTTAGTTTTCGACATGCTTGTTTTTTGACTCCAAGTAGAATCCAAGTGGAAATGTTCAGTATCCAAGTCTAGAGCTCAGACAAGAGGCTGAGACTAAGAACCTAAATTCGGAAGTCACCAGAATATACCACCATTTAAAGCTAAGAAATTAGATGAAGTTCTTTTTAAGTCCTTACTTAATAAACAAAACGCATAAAAAATTTTCTAAGTGCTTTACAAATATTAACTCAACTCTCTTAACACTCCTTTGGGGTAAGAACTATTATTATCCCTATGTTCCATATTAAAGATAAGAAAACCAGAATATCTAAGCAACTAGCCCAAAGTCACACTGCTGGGAAGCAGCAAAAATCTCCAGAGTCTGAATTCTTAACAGTAAGCTAAGTAGCCTCCTAAGAATCCAAGGAAGAAAAATGTCAAAGAAGTTCTAGGACAGAGCCCCAGGGCATTCAACATTAGGAAGCTGCAAAAAGACTAAACAGGAGCTACACAGAAAATGAGAAAGCTTGGTGTCCTGGAATCCCACGAATAAAGTACAGTATATCAAAAAAGAATGCTTAAGAGATCAACAAAAGCCGGGCTCGGTGGCTCAGCCTGTAATCCCGCACCTTTGGGAGGCTGAGGTGAGTGGATTGCCTGAGGCCACGGGTTCGAGACCCGCCTGGGCAACTTGGCGAGACCTCATCTCTACAATAAATCAAAAATTAGCCGGGCGTGATAGCGCGCGCCTGTAGTTCCAGCTACTTGGAAGGCTGAAGCAGAAGGATCGCTGGAGCCCAACAACAGATCGAGGCTGCCGTGACCGGAAGCGGCCATTGCACTCCAGTCTGAGTGACAGAGTGAGACTCCAACTCAAAAAAAAAAAAAAAAAAAAGAGATCAACAAAGAAATGGACTAGAAGTGGACCATTGGATTTGGCAAGATGGGAGTCACCAGGTACTTTGAAATAAAATAGTGGATGGAATGAGTTATTTTTACAACTCAAGAGCTGAATTTAGTAGAAATATGATGTTCCAAATGAGATTAATTTATTCAGTAAATGTTTACTGAATATTCAGTAGCATGCCAGACACTGGTCTACAGGTTAGAGATGTGGTAATGAACAAAGCAAACAAAAATTCCTCTTCTCATGGAGCTCACATTACAGTAACATGTTTAGGTGTTTCTTCAAGGGAAAAGCTACCACCAGTATTTCACCTCTTTATAAGAAATGCTATATTATATAAACCAGTTAGTGAATTTCGGACTCAGTTTCAGTGTATGAATAAAGCTGAAGACAGTTAATTTTGAAAAAGTACAAATGTGTGCAAATGTTAAATAATAATTACATCAAATGAATTAGTGAGAGTACTTTATTGTCACTGACAAACTCACTGGTGGAAAAGGTGAGAAAGAAAACTATTAAATGCATTCTACATACTGCATTCTATATGCTATACCAGTAAAAAAAAAAAAAAAAAAAATTAACATGGGAGTCTATTAGACTCTGCCCAAGGTTTAGTTACTGGGAGTCTCTGAAGCGTCTTCTTAGATTAACTTTTCACGATATTTCGATATATGACCATGAGAAGAGAATTGACCCAAGTACCAAAATCTGACTAACTTTAAAAAGTACACTTTTCAGCCGGGCTTGGTGGCTCAGCCTGTAATCCCGCACCTTTGGGAGGCTGAGGTGAGTGGACTGCCTGAGCCCACGGGTTCAAGACCTGCCTGGACAACTTGGCGAGACCTCATCTCTACAATAAATCAAAAAATGAGCCAGGCGTGGTAGCGTGCGCCTATAGTTCCAGCTACTCGGAAGGCTGAGGGGGAAGGATGGCCGGAGCACAGCAGGTGAGGCTGCAGTGGCCGGGAGTGGCCACTGCACTCCAGTCTGGACGATAGAGGGAAAAAAAAAAAAAAAAAAGTACGCTTTTCTGGAGTAAAACAATGTCACTACTCAAGAAGGGTACTGTCTGGCAGGTTCAACATTCTTACCTCAACAAATCTTTATTAAGTATATACTATATAGCAACCACTGATTAAGGAGGAAAATACAGGATATAACTGTCTTTAATGTAAAAAAAATTTTGTAAAGACAAAAAAATGCTAAAATAATTTCTAGGAGTTTGTAAGAGGGTGGAAATTACATTAGGCTTTTGCAGTGGTTCTCAACAGGGAGCTATTCTGTCCCCACAGGGGACATTCAGCAATGTCCTAAGACTTTTAAAATCAGGACTGGAGGTTGTATGCCACTGGCATCTAGTGGATAAAGGCCCAGGGACGAAGTCAAAATTCTACATTGTATAGGACAGACCCCTATAACAAAGATATTTATCTGGTCCAAACTGTCAATAATGTTGACTGAGAAACCCTTTTCTAGGATAAACAGGAAATGATGCTGGTATAACAAGTTGGATTCTGAGTTGACCTTAAAACATTAGCATATGTTGAAAGCAGAAATACTAGAAGCAAAAGCATAAAGGCAAGAAGGAGCCTGTGTTTGAACTGGGTGGCACAGGTACTAGGAACAGGTTTGACAATAAGAACTGTATCTGAATCCAGTGCAAATACATATTCAAAAAGTCAGTAGGATACAGAGATGACTGGGTAGTTGGTAGCTAGATGATACAGTACTACAAAAACAAGACAAAAGTGCTGGAAATAGAAGGAGCAAGTATTAAGATATTGTTTTATTTGAAGCATTTGCACCAGAGACTGATGTTGCAAAACTGCTTGACAGTAGCCACCAAATGTTGTTCATCGCTGTATCTCTTATGTCGCTGAGCACTGTGTCCTGTAAATAGTGTGCACTAACTGCTTGTTAAATTAAATACAGTGGCTGGGCTCGGTGGCTCAGCCTGTACTCTCTGCACCTTGGGAGGCCGAGGTGAGTGGATTGTCTGAGTCCGAGGGTTCAAGACCTGCCTGGGCAACTTGGCAAGACCTCATCTCTACAATAAATCAAAAATTAGCCGGGTGTGGTAGCACACGCCTGTAGTTCCAGCTACTTGGAAAGGCTGAGGCAGAAGGATCGCCAGAGCCCAGCAGGTCGAGGCTGCGGTGGCCGGGAGTGGTTACTGCACTCCAGTCTGGGTAACAGAGTGAGACTCCAACTCAAAACAAAAAAAAAAAATTAAATGCAATGTTCCAAGTCACTATTTACCGAGTATTACTGGTGATCTCCAAGGTTCCATCCACTGCTAAGATTCAGGACACTTAACAGGAACAAAAAAGGAGCATATAGTAAGTGCTTACTATATTAAGACACTGTAATAGGCTTTCTACACATATTATTTCATTTAATTACAGAACAGAATGTGTTTTCCCTCTTTAAAGATGAGGATACTGGAACTGAAAGAATTTAACTTGCCTGTGATTTCACTGTGAGCTAGGAAGTGGCAGATATAGGACTGAACCCTTTCCCAGTCTTACCCTAAACCTCTAAGTTGCAGTGACATACTGTAAAGAATTATGGGGGGGGGAAAGCAAAAATTCATCACCCGCCTTTCATGATCACAATACACCAATACGTATAAACTAACTTCATAAGGTTGTCCTCATAGTCTTTTAACAGTAATAACTAAATTCTGCCTTAAGAGACTTGGAGACGGTATTTGGCTTGCTTTCATTCCACACTTGTGCGCCAAGATTATTCCTAAGTGCATTCAAATCCAAGCAAAATTCTCTTCTCTGAAACTCAAATTCCCATTCTCATCTTCAGGCCAGGAAAAAAAAACAAAAAACGAAAGCTAACCTGTTGAACTGACATGATCAATACCTAACACCAATGACTCCGAAAACAACAAAAAGGTAGCATTTCAAATGCCTTTCCGATTCAAGATCCTCTTCCACGCTTCTTAAAGTGCGGAGACCTGGCCTGAGAAAAGCGCCCCCGAGGCTCAACTCAGTTTCAGCTGTGGCCAAGCGCCGAACAAACACGTTCGGGAATCTGCCTTTCTCCAGAGCTCTCTCCTACAGGTATCGTTACAAAAGAGATGTTTAAATGCCCGAAGACACCTTACCCAAAGCATTCCGCCAGTCCCAGACGCTTACCATTTGTCTAGGGAAACACTTAGGGTGGAGGGTGTGCAAGCCTACTCCAGCCGAGATACGCCTCAGACCTTGGCTATTCTTCCAGAAGCACAGTCCCATCCCAGCACCAGATGCTGCGCCGGCTGCCCCTCCGAGGCCCTTTCCACCAGCGCCTTAAGCCTTTCTTCCGAAACCACAGCCCTAGCTCAAGGCCCATTTCCCAGGCTCTCGGAGTTCCATTGCTCTCAGAGGGGATGCGCCAAGCCCTCAGCCTTCTCCCAGCTCTCAAGCGAGGAGTCTCGGGAAAGAGGAAGAGCTTGGCCCTGGCTCGCGGGGTGGGGGAGAGACCCCAAATGCAGGCAGGGGCGCCAGCGTGGGCTTGCAGTCCGGTGGGGAACCCACGGGGAGCGGCCAAAACACTTACCAACATCTTGATCGAAGGGGTTGGTGGCAAAGAGAGGCATTTCCACTGCGTGCCGAGGTGTCCGCAGGGACTCCCCCTCGACGCCACGGGATTCAGGGTGCGACGTAGGAAGGAAGACTCCTCAGGCAAAAACAGCAACAGAGACTGACTCCACGGGGTCCGCGACAGCTCCTCCTCTCACCCACCCCCAGCAACCACAGAGGCGGCGGCGGCTGCAACAGCGAAGGAATCGAGGAGGCCCCCGCGCGGAGCATGTCGGGAAACTGAGCGACTTCGGCACTGCCTGTCCCGAACCTGCCCAGAACCCGCCCCGCCCGTACGGGCCCAACCACGAATTCCCCTCTTCCTGACTCCTCTTTTGATTACTCACACACGAGAGTGGAAGGAGTGCCTGCATTTTCCGGTTTTTTCCCTTGGGCAGCGCCTACGGGGAACAGGGTCCTCCAGGCGCGCCGAAGCCTACTAACGACCCCAGGAGTGAATGGGAGATTGAGGAGAGATTGGGTTGAGTGTGTCTGGCCAAGCCCCTTTTTTTCTTCTCACTGGGTCGGTTGTCTTAGGCTTGTAGTCCCTGCATAGGGAACGGGCGCTAAATTCGGATCACCTTCTAAGTAAAAAGGCTCTGAGATCATTTCGCTGTCTGAGGCGACAAGAACTTGCTTGGGTGAAGCCACGAGAGCGGAACGGATTGGCTGGAGTCCCTAGAGAGGGGAGTGTCGGGCGCGCGGCTCCCTTGCGGAGGCAGAGGTAACGCGGGCGCCTTCCCGGGAGTTCCTGGCCGCCCGGCCTCGGAACTCCCGGTGGACTGCTCCTTTCGTCGGGCGTTGGCACCTGCTGACTAACCGTGCAGTCACCGAGCAGCTGCGATGATCAGTGACACGTCTTTCAAGCCCAAGACAGCCTCCCCAAACCGAGCAAAAGAAAAGAAAACAAAACAAGACAAAAAAGCCTGGAGCTAGAAACCGATTAGAGATTCCCAGCAACTTAAAATGTTGATCTAACTCAATTATTTACAAGTTTATCCGACAAATGAAAGTGATTCTCTACATCATGTAGAAAATGTCAAGGACTATCGACTAGGTTTTGCAACCCACTTGGAACATACTTAGTAAGCTCGTCTTGCACGTAAATTGAAATCATGTAAATTACAGGCAAATGACAGTACTTCCATGTGTGGCAGGGAAACCAGTATTGACCTGTCAACGACAGGACTAGCATCTCGGTATACAAAGAGTGCTTACAAAAATCCGTTAAAAGTTAAGTCCACTTCGAAAAGGGGACATATGTAAATTAAGCAGGAGTTAAACGTTTTTTGTTATTCAGACAAAGATTAAAAAAATCAAGGATGTGGGTATTGGACACTCAGATATTGTCGTATGAAGTGTAAATTAATCCGTAGAATCTTCCCAAGGGGAAATATTTGAAGCATGTAGCAAGCTTTTGATACCTTTGGCCCCAGCAATTCCATTTTGAGGAATTTATCCTAAAGACATTTTTTAAAAACATGAGCAAAAATATACATGGCAGTATTATATACAATATCAAAGGACTGTTAACCACTAAAATGTCCAACATTAAGAACTTGAACAAATCGCCTCTTTGTGTCTCCGTTTCCTTATCTATAAGAAACAGGAATAATAGGATTGTGAGGATCAAATGGATGAATACCCTTATAACAGTACCTGGCATACAGTAAACACTAAATAAGTGTAAGTAACCATTATAATTAGTATTGGTCAAAGAAATAATAGTACACACGATGTAAAAACTGTACAGCCATTAAAGGTAGATGACACAGATCTGTATTTACATAGAAAGACATCTGAATACATACATTTTTAGGAGGTTTACAGAACCATGTAAAATTACAAATATCTGCCGTTAAAGTCTGAAGAAAATACATGCAAATATGACATGGTTATCTCTGAATAGTACAATTCTGGATGATGTTTTTCTTCTCTAGGCATTTTATATTTTCCAGATATTTTAATGATGAGCATGTATTTCTTTCAAAAGCAGGAAAAAAGTTAAAACACAACAATGTAAAAAAATGTGATATGTTGGTGTCACCAGGTTCCTAATATTTTGAGAGGCCAATACCAGAAGCTTGTGTGTGTTTCATTAAAGTATAGAATTCTTCCAAAATATCGCTACTGCTGTGAAAAACAGAGCATTTTTCTATAAAAAATGTGCTCTTAGACTATCGGACCAACAGAATTAGGTAACAACTTGTTCACCTCAAGTTTCTGAGCAGGGTCTTGAACACTTTATCATAATTGCCCAGTATCAAAACCAGATATTTATGAAAATGCATTTGGAGATGCTTTATGCTCAAGACTGAATTATTCTGTTGCCAGCAATAAGCCCGTGCACAAAACATTCAAGCCTTGATTATTATTTATGTGCATTGAGAATAACACATATTAGTTGATAGCATTAACCATGCATTCACCTAGAAGAGTGGCATTAGCTATTGGAGACATGATGATTAATATGTTATATAATTAATAAACATTTGTAGAATATAAAATTTAAAATATTGTTATGTTTAACATAAACGCCAAATATATAAATCAAAATCATTTGTATTTCGAGGTTAACTTCCTTTGCTATCCCTTTATTATCTTTTTAAAAACATTTTAGAGACTAAGTATCCATATCACATTAAAATATTTCTGTAATATATGTTTAGTAAATTCTATAATTTTATTTTTTCTTGGTAAGAAACAGAATCTCATTTTTTTTGTCACTCAGGCAGATAGAGTGCAGTGGTATAATCATAGTTGACTTTAACCTTGAACTCTTGGACTCAAGCAATCCTTCTGCCTCAGGCTCCTGAGTAGCTGGTACTACAGACACATGTCATCACACCTGGCTAATTAAAAAAAAAATTTTTTTTTAAGAGACAAGATCTTGCTGTGTTGCCCAGGCTGGTCTCAAACTGCTGGCCTCTAGCTATCCTCCCTCCTTGGCCTCCCAAAACACTAGGATTACAGGTATGAGCCACCATGCCCAGCTACTTTTAAAGTGTTATATTCCTTTATTCTCTGGCCAGGTGCGATGACTCAAGCTTGTATTCCCAGCACTTTGGGAGACCGAAGCAAGAGGATTGCCTGAGTTTAGGGTTCAAGACCAGTCTGACCAACTTGATGAGACCTCATCTCTACAATAAATCAAAAAATTAGCCGGGTGTGGTAACGCATACCTGTAGTTCCAGCTACTTGGAAGGCTGAGGCGGAAGATCATCTGAGCCCAACAGATCGAGGCTGCGATGGCTGTGAGCATGCCACTGCACTCCAGCCAGGGCAACAGAGTGAGACTCCAACTCAAAAATAAAAGAAAACGTCTGGCTCAGTCGCTCAGCCTGCAATCCCAGCACTTTGGGAGGCTGAGGCGAGTGGATTGCCTGAGCCCGCGGGTTCGAGACCAGCCCAGGCAACCTGGCAAGACCTCGT